ACGCTTAATGTTTCTTCAGGTGTTCCGCAAATTAGTCAGTATGGAGCAAGTTTTTAACTATTTTGATTTGGGAGTTAATATGGACCCTAAGCTTAATTTTTGTCTTTATATTGATACCATGGCCTTGAAATCAAAAGCTGTCCTCAGTTTTGTTAAACGTTAGTCTAAAGAATTTAGAGATCCGTATATTACTAAAACACTTTATACAACTTTGGTTAGACCTATATTGGAATATGGCTCTGTTGTATGGACCCTAGCTACCAAATCCATTCTGACAAGTTAGAGTCTGTTCAAAAACAGTTTTTACTTTTCGCCTTAGCGCATTTCCGATGGGATTCTAGGGTAAGTCTACCTCCATACACTAGTCGTTTAAAACTTGTTAATCTACTTACACTTTCTAGTCGTAGGGAAATGCTTGGCATAATATTCTTAGTGAAAATCTTAAATGGAACAGTTTGCAGTTCTTTTCTCCTGTCTGAAATTAAATTTAATATCCTGGTTCGCTTTTTGAGGCAGTTTAGACCTTTACTGTTAAAATCCTGTAGATCAAATTTTGAACTAATTTTACCATGTCATGATTTTAGGTTTACCATGTCATGATTTTAATTCTCATTCCAGCACATTTGACTTATCTGACTCTCTTTTCAAAATTAAAAAGATTTTATAGTTTTCTCTTAATACATGAAAATGTAACAATTTATTATATCGTAACTATTAATCTTAGCCGTTGAAATTTTTGTTTCTGTAGCTGAGCAGTTTTAGATCTCAACACTTAAAAAACACTCGCGTCGGTTGTGCGGGAGGAGTGTAATCGTTGGGTTATTATATACTCCATACGAATATAGAAACGAAGCAACAATGCAACAACTTGGAAACGACAACGGAAATAGGGCCGAATATATTATTGGTCATCGAATCTTTGTGATTTTCAAACAAAATTTTTGATCGGACCAGCAAACATGTCGTCAGGACTATAGCAAATAGTAGACGAATTTGGAGTTAAATGCTGCTTCGGCAAGCATACTGTCCCAATGATTGTCATCTTCTAGCAAGTCTAGTGCAAGGCATGCATCAATATAGGTTGAATACTGTTGTCCATTTCTTTACGTGCGAGTATATCTTAAAATGACATTGGTCCGGTAACATTAACAGTCGCAGATTACATCACTCAATCTGCCTTGGATCGACTGTATGTATGTACACGACCCAAATTATTTAATTTGAATGCACCAGAATATCCATTTTTTCGGTTGAGCCCAAGTAAAATAGTGTGGATTTATAGCAAGATCAATTGTTATTTCGTTCGGGAAAAATGCGCGTTTGCCGCTCGTCTGTTCGAGATAAACAAAGAAATAATGCTAAGTTCACTATGAGAATTAAATTAACTTATAAGCTGCAAAATTATAAGTATAACAGTCACTGCTATGATCGTGGCTCAAATAAAACAAAAATAAAATGAAGGAACACTGTATTAAGATTGTGAAAAAGGAAGCTGGCTTCGTTTTCATCCATACTCCGTGATGTTGGCTGGTTGAGAAGTGACAACGGGAGACACTTGGCGGGGATAACTGATTAGTTGACAGAACTTCACATGAAAATTATAGTATACCACAATTATTATATTCGATTGCATGTTGTAGATCTGTGAATGGATGATTTTAATTCTCATTCCAGCACATTTGACTTATCTGACTCACTTTTCAAAATTAAAAATACTTTATTGTTTTCTCTTAATAAATGAAAATGTAACAATTTATTATATCGTAACTATAAATCTTAGCTGTTGAAATTTTTGTTTCTGTAGCTGAGCAGTTTTAGATCTCAACACTTAAAAAACTCTCTTGCCTTTTTGACTCGGCTAATTCCGCACGTATGCGGATTGAGCCCCTCGCGTCGGTTGGGCGGGAGGAGGGTAATCGTTGGGTTATTATTATTATTAAAAATTCAACGATGCGTTTTGAAGGTGAAGACTCCTTACAGACTTCAAACAATTGTTCATAAATTGCCTTTGCTTTTAAACCTTTCAAAACAAATAATCTAATCACTGCTCGATATTCAATTTTTTCCATATTAAAAAGAATACTCTGACACCTCAACTTCAAATGGCTTGTAAACAAAGAATTAATGGACAGAATGGCTTGTACCTTTGCATTTGTTCTTAAGACAGATGTACCAACTTGAGGAAAAATTTGGAGCTAGAAGTGCTATTTCTTGGTGAGAGCAAAAACGTTTCAACCAACCTATATATCGGTCAGTGTGTGAGTACTATAAAGGGTTTTCCAATAAGAGTGAAATGAATTACAAAAAAAAAAAACACCAAATGCTAAGGAAATTCAAATGTTTTTTATTTATTATGCAGTACAATCGATACAATTGAGTTCTGTATATAACATCATTCAAATGGCCCCCACAACTTCTTTTGCAGGAACGAAATCGATGAACTCAATTTAAGAGTAATTTACCACTAAATCAAGTCATATGTCATGAATAGCACGTTCAATATTGACTCCTAAAGCTTTAAGAGAGTCTGGTTTATTGACCAATGTTGAAATTATCGAATCTCCAAACTTTGCTCGCAATAATTCGGTTATTGCACGTGCTGTGTGGCCCGTAGCCCCATCTTGTTGGAACCAGATGTTCTTAATATCAACTTCTTCCAATTACGGCCATAAAAAGTTGGTTATCATCGATCTATATCGCTTCCATTGACAATAACGGTGTCACCAGCTTAATTTCGAAAGAAGTACGGACCGATGATTCCACCAGACCAAAAACCACACCAAGTGTCAATTTAGGTGAATGTAATGGTTGTTCATGAATAATTTGTGGATTTTCTTCGCAACAGAATCGACAGTTTTGTTTATTTAAGAGTTGCAATTGGGGAACGATTATTTTGTTAAAAAAATTTAATAATTTGTAAACGTTGTTCTTACGTATTTTTCCATGATGAAATTGTAAACATTACTGAATACAATGAAAAATTTAATTACAGATCACGACATATTACAAATGGGCGATACGACATTTAAAAATCGTGTCATACCTATTGGCTTATGAAATTGCTTGGAAATATTTTTCCAAGTATATTTGAGCAATTTTAATATTGAGTATAATCAGCTCAGATCTTTTCTGCTCCCAATACACTCTATATAGTGATTTATGACCGCCTACAGTTTTTTAAACCGTATAGGTTGGTCAAAATGTGTGATATTTTAATGAAATTAAGTGGACAAGTTTTCCTAAAAACTATGTGGTTCAGCGTTTAACAGGACTTTGATCCCTTCACAATTTCGTCGAATAATGAATGTTGAATTCTTTCGCAACAATTTTTAACATAAAGCTTTTGTCAACACCTGAAACTAATTCGCCGGCTTTGATACTTGCAAGTTACAAGTGTAGGAAATGTTCGGTTACTCCCGAGCTTAGCCCTTCATTACTTGTTGACCATTATTTGGCTATAGATAGGTGAGAATTAACTTATGGAGAAAGCTTGATGTAACTTATAATTAAGTTTAGGTGACTTATTTGTTAATTTATGTATACAAGTGCACATGTACAAGTTGTAATACATGTTATGTATTATAATCAAATTAATATATACGTATTAAAAATACGTTTACTCCTTTTTTGTTTTGTTAATGAATTGTTTGTAAAAAAAAAATACTATTCTTTTTTTTAGAAAATTTATTCGAATTTCAACAATTTCGAATCTCTCACTACATTTTCGCACATTTTTGGACCGAATTTGCCACACTTAAAAATTGTGAAATTCCATCCCTGGCATCTGCTACGCCACTGTTTATTCTTGCTTATATACTCAATATGCAAATACACGTACATAGATGGACAAGTCCATTCGCATTTAATTTACCCTCTGCATAACGGTTTTAGTTTGAAGTAATTACCATATATCTTAACCAACGCATGCGCATTTTTTTGCTGCTTTAACACTACAATATGAATAAGGTAAACGAAAAACGAATGTGTTTGTCTCTGTTTAACACATTTGACTGACTATTTAATATTTGTAGGTTTAACTTCAATATAAACGCAATCCTGACATTGATATATTTTACTACCAATCTGAAAACGGCTCGTTTGCAATAATCCAATTGGTGGTAACAAAACTTCCGGGTAGTTACTGATAAACAAACAAACAAATATCTTTAAGGGAATGGTAATGTGTCTACTTACCACAGTACCCAATAGAAAATATCTTAAAGATCCGAGAAAATACATACATGTTTTCTCGTTGTAAGGTACCAAGAGATGGCTTTTATGTTAAAACACATTTCTATTGTGCTGGCTTCAGTCTTAAAAAAAATCAGATTGTAAAAGAACCAAAATAAGTTAATGAATATTTGAAACATTTTGTGAATAACAAGCTATCTCATTGAATTATAGTATGGAGGAACATTTGAGTTTACTATATATATTCCCCAAATTACTAAAACTATGTATATCATTTATACCTCGGGGAACATTTCTCTCTAGCATTGCTACAGTGTTAAAATGAAGTTGACAATTAGAAGTGACTTACCTAAAGAAAACGTCCGAATCATAAAAATTGGGAGCTACACAATTTTAAGTGAAATTTCATGAGCCAGGAACTACTCGACCAGCTTGAACCAACAGGAAAAGGTATACGACGGCAAAATCAAGCACCGATTTCATTAATTTTTGACTATAAGCCAGAATCGAAAATATCCATTTTTTACAACCGATTCACATGTGGTTTTTAGCATAAACCCTTCGGGGAACGAATTTATTAGTCCCTGTAACACATGTTGCGAGAGTATAAAAATTGGGATTTTAACGCATTTGTTTACATAACGATTTTATATAATATTATCTCATGTTATTATTATGACCAAACCTCTGAAATTGGAAAATAGGTTCATACTGTGAGCTGTCGCGTGAGAGTAAACATTTATCAATGTAGATTATAACAAGTAACAAAGGACTAAATTTATGGATAATAAGAACTTGTATTATTTCAGGTATTTTTAAAGCAATAATTGCATAAATAGCACAATGGCTTTAATCAATAATGGTAATATAAATGAATCCGATGATGAGCGTGACCTTACCAGCTTATCTTGGTTAATGGAGTTACGGAATCAAAATTTTAATTGGACAAAGAACGTGCAACAGGTTAATTTGGACGGCGATGAAATGAGTAATCGACACAACATAAAATACTCTCACGGAGTAAGTGAAGGACAACAAGGAGCGTATGATAAAACAAGTATGTTTAAGAATAAAAACAATTCCAACGACAAATGCAATGATGTTATGAATAATGATCATAATGTGACAGCAACCAGTAATAGAACACTGTTTAATGAGTTTGATAAGCAACAAAAAGAACATACTTCAAGCAGCGACAGTGAAAAAAGTATAGCTAAACGAAATTGGATAGGTAAATCCATTGAAAAATCATGTAGAAAATCGTCTAAAGGCATGCACTTTCAACAGCAGCAATTAAAACTACAAATAAAACGAGCTACCCCAGTCGAGCGCTTTGAAATATTTCTAGAAAAAGTTAAAAGGTATTTATAATCTAATCAGAAGAGGTATATTATACAGAATTTATTTATAAAAGTATGATTTAAATATTTTATTTGTAATTCTTCGAAACCAAAAATTTTTTTTGGTACTAGTTGATACGTGTATGTATAATAAATTTTATAAAGAACAAGTAGGGTTGTGCGAAGATTGAGTTCAATACTTTAGGTTCCTTCAAATATTGGCGAGCGACGTAAAAGTCCTACTCCGCTCATCTGCACTACCAACTTCTGCAGTGTGCCAAAACACCATTTGATGTTTTACACGAACATTCCAGACCGCCCGAGAACCCTTTACTAATTATGCAATAACTTGAAAAGTATTTACCGAATTTACTTCAAACTTTTTATATATTTCTAAAATATTATACTTTATATATAAAAAAATACTTTATTTATAAGTTAAAATTCTGAATACCTCTAACGGTTAAAGTCTAACCCCTTATTTCTACTTCTTGTAGCACATAAATCGTTACAAAAATATCGAATAATAGCCACCGGTCACTCCTACTCGCATGACATCCATTGGCAAATCCAATGCACATGGTGCATATATCAAATAGTATACGCTGGCCGAACCGCCACATTTTCTGGATCGATACTCATTGTATTTTCTCCTCAATTTATCTAACATTTCGTTCGTATGGTCTTTTTAATTCTGCTTTATTGTTATTTGTTTTGCTTCTCACACACAGTCTTATTTGAATTCAAGAATACTTTTCTCCATCTGCATCTGTGTATATCAACAAAAATTTAGGCAAAAAGTGCAGCAATGCAAGAGCACAACACGGCATTTACACATTTGTACATATACTTGTAAAAGCACACAGCATGATCAAAGTAATACTGAACTCATTAAAATTTATCTGCATCCTCTCTTATGAACAAGTGAGTAAAATTAAATTGTTAGTTTACACTCGAGAGAGGCAAAAATTGGCGGCACATATAAGTGTAGAAACACAATGAGTTTTTTTTTTTTGTTTGTATGGGAATAAATTTGCCATATTTTATATTAGTAAGAGTACTCATTTGCACCAATTTTTATAACTCATGACTTAAGTGCACTAATTATATTAGTACTCATTGCAGATCTCTGGTACGGAATGACGGAACGGCAGTCACTAATTCCACTAAAAGCGAACAAAATGATATCGAGGTCAAGTAAATGAACACATTAACATTTGCGACATGTCATTTTAACAACTTGACAATCTTTGCTCGTTTGACCTTCAGAGCATAAATTTCGTAGGGAGTGGTTAAAATATACGTATTCGATTGGCTGGAAGAAAAGGAAGTGCATGTAACTAAATTTGATGGACCTTTAAGGTTTATTTGTATGTACATATTTCTCCAAATTAAATAAAACCCAATGTTTTGATGATAAGAAAATGTGGTAGTTTTGCAACAGATTTGGAAGGCATTTTCGTACTCAAAGATTTCCTGAAGTGCCAACAATGAGAATGGCCCATTCAATCACTCTTATGGCGTTAATAGCAAACCCCTTTGCTATTTCGCTTGTATGGTTTCGATAATTATCTTGCTGGAAGACCCAAATCAATGGCGTTTTATCGCTAGCGTAGGGCAGCATGGTCTGCGTAATTTTGACATAACCTATCCGATCCATGATATCCTTGATAGAGTGTGTTGATCCTACGGCCTAGTAAGAAAGTTATGCCCTTATGCCCAGCCCCTTGTGACCAGTCAATGTGTCGTTTTGCAAATTAAATCCGTGTTGCTAGGATTTTATTTTTATGGAAAGGAGTTTTCACGTACATCTAATACTACCTTAATGGCACCAACTTCCGCTTTAAAGACACTGTAGTGACCTGGTAGTCTAAGGCTACGGTTAATTGAGAGCCGAAAGAAGACTCCTCTTCCCAGCTTTCCCTAACCTTCGTTTCATTCGTCACAAAGCTCACTCCACCTGTTATAGTTGTTGTTGTAGTAGCAGAAAATTTCCGTTTACGTAGACCCGACTCTCGTGGGAACGGCCCACACCTTTTTTTCTAGCAGCTCCACAACATCGCCGCGATACACCTGCCAGCTATGTCCAGAGGTGCTACGTGTAGAATTGCATTGAGTGGGATTGTGGTGTTGTCTTTAGAGCATCACAGATACCAAAAAGGGCCGCTCTTTTAACACCTTCCAGCGAGTGTGGTTTTGGATTGGGGGGAGAAACATTTTTTCAAGTAGGCTTTTCTAAGAATACAGACGGCGCTTAGGAATTTTCTTTTTACCATATATTCGTATTTTTCAAAATCGATTTAAACGCCTTTATAACGACCGTCTTTGATCACTTCATAAATGAAGTTCTTCGCGATTTAAATTTCATGTTTCTATATCCTCCATCGCTTTTGCTTTCGGTGATTTATTTAATATTTAACCATAGAAGCGAAAACCAGCGCGATTACGCTTTGATTGACCGTTTGAAGCTAAAATTTCCTAAATAACAACCCCACAAATTGTATAAAACGGCAATATTATGGAAACGATCTTAACGTAACTATAATAAGCATAGCTCATGCCTACACAAATATAATACATGCGTTATATTAACAGTTTTGGAGTGCGATTTTTTATACAGCGCTGCCAGATAGGCGAATTTTTCTGAATTTGCCGGACTTTTCGAGCAATAGTTCATGATTTATCCGAATTTTTCACGTACCATGTCATCTATCTTCTTTATCTTTATAATACTTACAGTTAGTAAGGCGTATCCTGCTACGCCCCTTTTTATACTCTCAACATGTTGCTACATAGTATAATAGTTTTGTTCACCTAACGGTTGTTTGTATCACCTAAAACTAATCGGGCGAACAATCACCGATTTCCTCACCATCGAAAAGTTATTGCAACTTCGCTTCTTTGTACTTAGAAAATCGGTTTAAGTCCTGTGAAGGGTGCTGATACTGGTGGATCAACAATGTCTTCCACTTCTACCGCTCATCCAGGACTAAAACTCTCTTCAGAATTGTCCTCCGATGGTGACTACTTTACGATTACTTTATATCTTGAAATGTTAATGGCCTGGTGACTTTAACTAGCAACTGTCGCAGATTAAAGCACTCAGTGTATACACGACCCAAATTATTTTATTTGATTAAACTGGGGCATCCTGTTTTTCGATTGGTCCAATGGCGTGTAATTTTTGAATAAAATTGTTTGTGCAAAGGCACCAAAAACATTCGCTCGATTGAACAACTCAAAAAATTCGTTGAGCGTAGTTTTTGGTAGATTTATAACGCATTATAACTGTTTCATTTGTGAAAATACCAAACCAAATTTCATTAAAATCGGTCCAGCCGTTTCGGAGAATTTTGGCTATAAACACCGTGACACAAGAATTTTATATATTAGATGACAAAACATCATTTTTGCAAAATTATAGTCTTGTAGGAAATTTTCTGCTCTACAAAAATGGTTTGTATAGTTTTTCGATTAAATTAAGCGTTTACGAGATATTCATCATCAAACATCAATGCCTATCAAAGGGAAACAAAAAAAAAACATATTTGTAGAGCAGTAACGATGTGTTTTCTATGAGTTATAAAGTAAAAAACAAACTAGCTTTACAATAATCAAAATTCAACCCTCAATATATTTTAAACGTAAAGTTTACGAAAAAATCGTGAAAGACAAATTTATAGAGAATTAAATTTCCTACAAAATCAATGAAACGAGATATTTTTTTAAGCAGTTGGAAGCGAGATACGAATTTTTCTATCTAATAATAAAAAAAAAAGAAAAGCCGTAATGCGGAGGACCTTCCCGTTTCAATTAAGAGCTCACACTTGGAGGACCTTTCTTAGAGGTGTCTATCAACCAATTTTTCAGAATACGAAGCGAAAAAAAAAAAACGATTTTTTTTTATTTACCCTACTGTATATACATATGTACAATATCTAAGGTCTTATAAACATATAAACCTTCTATTCTTATGATTAATTGTTTTTGTGAATCAAAAGTATCGTAGAAGGTTTGGATATGTGATTAATTTTAATTATTTTTTTAATTTTACTACAGAGTATTTGTAGAATATCAGAAATCGGCAATTAACTATCAAACGGACACAACAGAAAAGCCGCCATTTAATTACTCTCATATAATCGGTATGGCAATGTTGGAAAATGGGCGAGTGACGTTACAACAAATATGTTCTTGGATAGAAAAAAAGTTTGCCTTTTTTCGCGTTAGAAAAAAATGGAATGTAAGTAATTTATACTCGTTTATACGTTGATATCTAAATTTATATTATTTATAAATACAATGTATTTTAGAATTCCATAAGGCATAATTTATCACTGCATCAGTGCTTTCGTAAAGTTGACCGTAAAAAATTTGAGAAAGGTAAAGGTGGTTATTGGGAACTGGGTGTTGATCCTCGTAAATGTGATAGGAAGCGTATAAGGAACAGAAAAAATGCACAGCATAAAATTAGACAATTGCAACATCAACATCAACCGCAAAAATTGCCAAAACATCCTTTAAGCACAAATAAAAGTAATACTACACAGGAAACAAAAGCTATAGTGGTGCTTAATCAGCAAAGTCCGATAAATATATCATATAATGAATTACAAAAAATACAAACTGGAAGCTATTATAGTGATTGTGCTCAACAACAAACTTACAGCGCTCTTGAGGCCGACCACGCAACTGATGGGCATTTGTTGCTTGACGATCTCGACATTCAACAAGACATCGATGTGGTCAGCTGTTGCCAACAGTCGCAACAGGAGCATGAAATATTTATTACTAGTATGGCAGAAGAAACCCCTACGGCAATTAATAGTGTACCTAATGATAATAGCCCCCAGACTATTGAATTACTGCAGAATAGTAAGCAACAACAATATCAGCTCGGCACAATTATAATTAGTACACCCACCGAAAAATACGGGAACATTTCCAATTTCGCTGCTTCAACGGGATCTATTAATTGTTTCATTAATGGCGAATGCACTGATGACAAAACACATAAACTACAGCAGAATTTCGTAAGTTACTACTACCGTTATTTAACTGGTCGGTGTTATTGTTAAATGCAACAACTTAATAGTTTAGTTTATAGCTATATTGTACATGCTAAAGTATGGTGCTAAGCTTATTAAATTAGGACTTATCAGCTATCCTGACAACGTCCACTATGAAATTCAAATTCGCCGGTATATGTATGCATTTTTAATCGCTTTTATTTACATGCTGTGTTTGTATGTTTGTAACTTTTTTCAGTGGTACAGAAACGCAAATATTATATACATAGTATATATATTTGAGCGCCACCGTGACAAAGTGATCAAAAGTTAGAGCAGCACTAGCAGCACTCTTCACAAGTGCATTTTTTATAGTAGAATTAAATCTGAAAACGTGACCGATTAACGGTTTGCATCCAACGGACTCTTTCTAGCTATTGCTTGGCATAAACATCAATCAAGTCGAATTAATGTTACTTAATAAGGAAAAAATATTATTTATGAATATCTTTATTTTGTTTTTTTATCGATAAATTTATATGACAGGTATCTGCTATAGGTGTCAGATCTGAACAATTTGTTCGAAGATTGTAGCGTCCTGAGCAAAAATCTATATAAAATTTCGTGAAGATATCTTTCGAATAAAAAGTTTTCCATACAAATACTTGATTTTGAGCGATCAATTTGTATGACATCTATGTGCTTTAAGGATCCGATCTGAACAATTTGTTGGGAGATTGTAGCGTCCTGGACACAAATCTATGCAAAATTTCGAGCAGATATCTTTCCAATAAAATGTTTTCCATACATGGACTTGATTTTGAGCGCTCAATTTGTTTGGAGATTGTTTCGTGAAGATATATTGTCACATTAAAAAGTTTTCAATACAAGGACCAAATTTTTATCGATCATTTTGCATGGCAGTTATGTGCTATAGTGGTCAGCTCTGAACAATATAATCGTAGATTCAAGCGTTGCAAATCTATGCAAAATTTGAAGACATTTCGTCAAATAAAAAAGTTTTCCATACAAGCACTTGATTACGATTGTTCAGTTTGTATTTCAGCTATAGGCTACAGTGGTTCGATATCAGCAGCTTCTTGGAGAGAAAAGGACGTTTGCAAACTTTCAGATCGATATCTCAAATGCTGAGGGACTAGTTCGCGTATATACAGACAAACGGACATGGCTTTATCTACTCAACTCGTCATGACTATCATTTATATATACATTTTATAGGATCTCCGACGTTTACTTCTGGGTGTTACAAGCTTCGTAGTAAACTTAATAAACCCTGTTCAGGGTATAAAAATAACTATATTAAAAGATCTTAACGTGATAAAAAAAATGGGGGTAACAAATCTGCTAACTTAAGCGATCCCATATAATCAAATACCACCAAAAATAATAGGTTTTTTTATTTTTATATACACAGTTAGAGCTTATCATACACTTATATTTTTGCAGATCTGCATAAAGGGCGACGAAATACGAACCATAAGCGGGAATGTAACCTCATATGTGGATAAAGATGGATTATCCGAAAAATCTTCAAAACCCAGGTCAAATTGTCAATGGAGTGCAGACCATCATCATACTAATACAACAACTACATTTACACCATTTATTCCATATTCTGCATCTACGAGCAAATATGTTCCATCATTCTTTATTAACAGCGTCGAGGAAGAAAAAAACGTTTTAATATCCCACTCAATAATGCCAAACGTTGTCGTTGAAAAACTGTTGCAGCCGTATGGATTACAATACCCACTCGCTCCTTCTCTAACTACACCAGCAACGACTACAGTGACGCCACAAGTTACGACTAATGGCAATAACAATATAAATTCAGAGCAAAATAATCAGCAATTACTGGCGATTGACAGTATACGTCCATACATTGACGGCATTGAAGAAGCATTTCAATATCTACGCAGCATGGATAACAATCGGGAAGATCTATTAGATAATTTCTTAGATATCTCTGTGAGTGACTACTAAACTCAATTACTCGATTACATACAAATATTCATAGATTATTTATAAATAACTGTATAAGTAATTAAAGAATAACTTCACGCTATACCAAAGTTAATACAATTGCTTTATAGTTGACTCGAAAATAATAAAAACGTAAATAAATATCTGATATAATGTTATTGGTGTATAATCACAATTTTTTGTTCATTCAACATTCTAATTATGATTATGGGATCAAGGACTGAGCTGATTTCATTAATTTTTGGCGCTAAACGACATTGTCGCAATGAAAACATATCCGCATAAGAAAAATGGCCCTTGCTGCTGTTGCTAGCTACTTGCTCTCGAACAGTATTGGTTTGATTTTCTTAAAATTTTTAGAGAATATTTTTAAATATTATACTTTGAAGAAAATGGAACAATAGATTTTTAAAAATTCTGACTACCCTAACTCGATAAGTCCATCAGAATATTCCGTGGTTTTCAATATTAAAAGGTACGCTGGTAAACTGTTTTGTGTCTAAATAAGCTTCTCAATATTTTGGCAATGTCTCGTTATTCTGCATTATCGAATGAAAGAAATATGGTATAACAGCTGAAGTTTAAATTTAACCAATAAAAATATTGGATTAACTTCCAAAATATTATAGTTCAATTATATAGTTCAGTCAATGAAAATGTATTTGAAACTCATAAAATCATGTAACCCAAACCAACTAACAGATGTATTTGTGATGAAATGCTGCACTATGGAATCACTTTCCTAACCAATTGCGCCCGGATCTACTGTTTTGAGTTTGGAATTCTATGGTTTCCAAATATAATATGTCGCTAGCAACCCCAATGGTCGTATGATATTCATCGGTAAACAGAATTACACATGAAATTACATAACAGAATCAATCCAACGAATTTAACATTATAATGACAATGCTCTTTTCATTGTTTTATCTTGTAAAAGGAGTAGTTAGTTTTTAGCACATACACATAGCCAATAAAGTCTGCGTTCACCCGACACTATTTTTAGTAAAGTAAAACACAATGTAAATAGGTATTCAGTTCAAATTTTCTACATGTATTTCTTCTTTATATTTTCTAGTTCAAAACGCAAAACAAAAATGTATATTCCTATTTTATTTTTGATAACGGGATTTTAGTGTAAGGAGAAGTTAACATAGCACCATTAAGTCTGCGTTCAGCTTTAAAATTAGTTAGAAAAGTATTAAAATGATAATGAAAATTAAATTCAATTTTTGTTGGATAGCCGCGTTGTTTTAAAACTCGCTCAACGATTTGGCATTGATCTTGCACATTTTCTGTTTCTCAGCTGTAATCGAGGACCATTCTCCGTGTTTAACTGTACCAACAAGATTTTCTTTCAAGGCCAGTTCTGACTTGCGCCACACAATTTGTCGACCTTTATACCAAAAATGCAAAATTTACTTCATCCGAAAATATTACTTGTCTCCAGAATTTCGGCGACTTATTTATATAATTATGAGCAAATTCAATGCGCTTTTGCCTGTTTACAAGTGAATACATGGTTTCTTTGAGCGACTCTACCATGATATCCAGCTTTCGTAAAGTTTTCTAGCAGTTTCGGCACAAATTGTTTTTTAATGTTTATATTTACGTTTTCAATAATCTTTGTGGACGTAATTCGAGAGTTAACTTTCACTTTTAATTGTTTACGACTCGCTGTACAGAAGAATACGTTCATTATTTTGCTAATTTTTCTGAAACTTTCGCCATCTTTCCACAACTTAATGATATTTTCTTTCCGACAGACTAATTTCGTTTCCTTTGGTTTCCATTTTTAAATATTATTAAAACGCGTCACGAGCTCTTTAAACGACTAATTATATTAAACACAAAAGAATCTACGCAAAAGAACGAACAAATTCATGAGAAGTAACGGTATTTCAATTCAAGCTAACTGAACGCAGACTTAATAGTGCCTATGTTTACTTGTTCTTACACTAAACTCCCGTTATCACAAAATTAAAATAGGAATATACATTTTTGTTTTGCATTTGAACTTAAGAATATAAAGAATAAATACATGCAGAAAAGTTGAACTGAATTACCTATTTACATTGTGTTTTTACTTCATTTAAAAATGTGTCGGGCGAACGCGACTTTATTGGCTATGTGTATCGTGGTATAT